GTTGTTCGGTCTTAGGCGAAGCGCCATCTGTAGCAATTGTTGTGAACTGCTCAGTTTCTCTTGAACTCTTGTTTGAGCCAGTCGTGGCTTCCATTGTAATAGTGCAATGAATTTGGTTATTTACAATTGTTAAAATAAAATATTGTTTGTTGAAATAATAGTATTTGATGAACCAGCGCACTGTGTACAATCGTGTACAGATATTTTTAAAAAACACATTCTGGTTCAATGCAACTTTTAACGCGTTGAATGCCATGGGGGTCACCGGTGAAGCCAAGATTATTAGAAACACATAATTCAAATAAATTTTTAATATTCTTATATTATTATCGTTACTAGAATGGTTTGAAGAAATTAATGTAATATAAAACAAGCAAAAATAGTTTTATTTATATACAAAGGAGATGCCAACTTGCTCCTTACAGCGAATAAATATTCTCAAGTGGTAGTTTATTAATTGTAATTCTTGGTTCAATAAATTCAATTTAGTAGATTTTTATCTACCACTATTTCTAAACAATTCGTAGACTTATATAATTCATCATTTTTTTCAGATGCATCTCGCTAAACCTGTAAAAAAACAAGCAAAATCTGTCAATTTTACAAATTTAGTTTGTCGTTATTTGCCGTTTGGTCAGACGGGAAAGCCATGTAAAATTAGGGTGGTGTTCAACGTGTTAGTATACAAAATTTCAGTTTTTGTATAAATATGCCTTGGAAAAAATTAATATAGAAGTTGTGCAATCAGAAATATAATGAGAAATGTACAGCAATTTATGCAGTTTTGATTGCAGATGTGGATAATTGAACAAATTAAACTGCAATATTTAAGAAAAAAAACTTTCTGTGGCTTAACGGCAACGAATTTTCCCCAAGTTGGAACTTTTATTAACCATTACCAACAACTATAGCCCACACTAATTCAAGGTATGTTTCAAAATGCTAGAAATGTGAAACTAATTGCTTTTAAGCGTTTGGCAACCACTGTACTTTAAACAACAAAGAGCTAAATTATTTTGCTTCTCTTAGAATGTACTGTTTCAGGTCGCACTGGCTAACATCCTCATAGACAGAAATTTTCAGTCGAAATTTGCTGTTCGGGAAAATCAAGAAAATGCTTAGTTGAAGCTGCGTCTAAGAATAGTTAACAATTTAGTGTTTCTATTTCATCTAACTACAATTATTTTCTTTTTATTTAACTTCCTTATATGATATACTCTACAGAAAACAGGGTAGTGCAGAATCTATAGCGATAAACCCACGATGTAGTAATTAAAAGAAAACGTTTACCCTTATTTATTCTTCTATTAATGCTGAATGTTAAGCACATTAATATGTATTATATCAAACGTAAAAATAAATTAAGAATTAGAAAAACAGAGAATAAATTAAAATATTTAAATCAAATCGAAATTTACTTCAGAAACTAAATAAAAAAATGTACTTGAGTCTTCTTAAACATACTTAATAGAACTAAATTAGACCAAATAAGCAAACTATTACAGAGAAGGTCATAAATTTAAAATAATAAAGGAAAACGATATACTCATCGTTAAGCTAGCAGTGAAATGCTGGGCGTTGCATGCGTATGAGCAAAAATGGTCGCCATTTAGTTATGCTCAGAAAAACAAAAACAAAACAACAAAAGAGAGAGAGAGAGAGAGAGTTGCTTTTTCATGTTCTCGAGAATTAGAGTGGAAACTAATACTTCATTGTGAAAAATTATGTCAGCAAAAATTTTTTTAAATTTCTAATGGGATGATATGGAATTTATTGTTATCTAAGTCATTAAAGAGACTGAAGTTCTGTAGTTTCAGAAAATATTTTTTCAAGTGGTACTAAAAATAATGCAATCATATTTTAAAACCTTACATTTAAATGACTTGCATTTAAATAACTTTGTACGCCACTACGCTAAAAAAAATTTAAACAATGAGTTAAAAAGTGGAAGTTCTTCTTAACCCGTTTTGTCCCGAATTTATATATTGACAGAGATGCCAACTGCTCCGGACACGCCAAAATAATTTATAAAACGGTAAATAACTACAGACTAAATTTTGCAAATACTTAACTAATCTTGTCTGCTTTTTAGAGGGTATAGCGTGACGTAGCTATAAAAAGTGGTGAATTATATAAACCTACTAATAATTTAGAAATTGTGGTAGATAAGAATCTAATAAATTGAATTTATTTAACCAAGAATCACAATTGATAAGCTACCACTTAAAAATATTTATTCGCTGTCCGGAGCAAGTTGGCATCTCTGTATTGAAATGATACAAAAAGTGGTTTTATGTGGTTTAAAGTGGCGTAATATATTATCGAAATTAATTGTTTTTTCTACTGTTAGGGCACTCAAAAAGTCTTTGATAGATCAAAAAGTACTTGCACCTTATAGTTCTAGATCTAATCAGAAATAACTAAATCATTGTGGTATCTGAGAATCTTGTAATTCAACCAGATAAATGAAAATGCTGAAAAAAGTTTCCCACCACAATGAATGTTTTTGAAAAAAGGAACTGTCCTAAATATATGACGCTGGGCGTTAACCGGTTAATGATGCTCATTTAAGTTTCACGAGTTTTTACCACTGGAGAAAAATTCACATAAACCTCCGATTTCGGAGAATATTTTTCTTAGTGGTAGCAAAGTGAATGCATTGATACTGGAATGCCAACTGCACCATTTTTTACTACGAATTTTAAGAAATTGGTAGCGAATTAAAGAGTAGAACTTGTAGAATAAGGGTAATTACGTCCACACTTTAAAGGTGTCACTGATTAAACTGAAT